CCCACCTGAGGGGTCTCCCATCCCAGATACTCCACCTCAGGGTGTCCCACCAGAACAGTACCTCACTGAGGGGTGCCCCATCTCAGGGTGTCCCACCAGACCAGTATCTCACTGAGGGTCCCCCCAGCCTCAGGGTGTCCCACCAGAGTGGTACCTCACTGAGGGTGTCACCCACACCTCAGGGTGTCCCACCAGAGTGGTACCTCTCTGAGGATCCCCCCCACCTCAGGACATCTCACCAGAGTGGTACCTCACTGAGGATCCCCCCCACCTCAGGGTGTCCCAGCAGAGCAGTACTCACTGAGGATCCCCCCCCACCTCAGGACATCCCACTAGAACAGTACCTCACTGAGGATCCCCCCCACCTCAGGGTGTCCCAGCAGAGCAGTACCTCACTGAGGATCCCCCCCACCTCAGGGTGTCCCACTAGAACAGTACCTCACTGAGGATCCCCCCACCTCATGACATCTCACCAGAGTGGTACCTCACTGAGGATCCCCCCCACCTCAGGGTGTCCCACCACAGCAGTACCTCACTGAGGGCGCTCCCCACCTCAGGACATCCCACCATAGTGGTACCTCACTGAGGATCCCCCCCACCCCAGCGTGTCCCACCTCACCTCAGGACAGCCCCCACACCTGGGTGTCCCACATCAGGGCATCCCACCCGGGGGGTGCCCCGGCCCGCCGCCCCCGCACCTTTGTGCATGCCGGTGAAGCGATCCTTGAGCACGGTGAGCTCGTAGATGCGGCCGAACTCCTCGAAGAGCGGCTTGAGGTCGCTCTCCTCCAGATTGCGCGGAATCTGCCCCACGAACAGCTTGATGGCGTCGTGGTCCTTCATGGCGATGGCGCCGGGCGGGCGGCTCAGCCCGTTCACCCGGCCGCTGTTCGCGGTGCTGAACGCCGCCCCCGCCGCCTCGCCCGCCGCCGCCGCCGCCATGGCCCGTTCCGCGCCCCGCCCCGCCCGACCGGCACCGCTCGGCACCGCCCGGCACCGCTCGGCACCACTCGGCACCGCTCGGCTCGCCTCGGCACCGCTCGGCACCGCCCCGCTCGGCACCTCTCGGCTCGGCTCGGCTCGGCCCGCGCCCGCCAGCGGGCCCGTGACGTCAGCCGGACGGCCCCGCCCAGGGGTGCTGTATTAGCATAATGAGGGGGCGGTGGCCAATCAGAACCGCGGGGCGGAAAGAGGGGCGGGGCGCGTTCCGGCTCCGCCCACTGCTGCGCCCTGCCGGGCTCACCCCGGACCCCCCCGCTCGCCACCCTCCCGTCCATCGCCCCCCGTGTCTCCCCGTTCGGCCCCTGTCACCCCCGTCACCCCCATCACCCCCATGATCCCGATCATCCTCCATCAGCCCCCATCATTACCATCACACACCCCCCCGCACCCCCCCACCACCAGAATCCTTATCACCCCCCATCATCTCCGAACATCCCCATAACCCCTATCACCACCATCACCCCCACCACCTCCATCACCCTCCCCCATCATCCCCATCATCCTCATCACCTCCCATCACCCCCCCACCATCTCCATCACCCCCATCCTCTCCATCACCCCCGGTCTCCCTCCCCATCCCTCCCATCACTTCCTATGACCCCCTGTCATGCCCCGTCACCCCCTATCCCCCTCATATCCCCCCATGTACCCCCTTTCTCCTCATCCCTCATCACCCCCATGACCACCTATGTCCCTCCCTTTCCCCCATCATCCCTCACCACCTCCATCCCGCCTCCACTCTCTCGCCCCCCTCCATCCCCCTTTTGCCCCATCATCCCCCCAACCCCAGCCAGGGCTGTCCAAGGAGCAGAGCAGCCTCCCACCTTCCTCCCTGCAGCCCTTTAGTAGCATCCAGACTTAACCCCTCTCTGCTCCCCACCTCAGAGCAGGGTTTAAACACACAGAACAGGCTCAAAAAGGGTCAATTTGGACACTTTGTTGAGGTTTTTCGCCTCCATGGACCCCACACTGCCCCTGTTGCTCCCTGGAGCTGCCCCAGAAGGGGGAGGAGGAGAGCACTTCCCTCCTGCATCCCACGTCACCCCGAAAGATCTGTAATTAGACTGAGCAGCTTTAATACCTGGTGTTGTCGTTAATTAATTAATTAGTCCCAAAGCAGCAGCCAGGTGGGGGGAAGCAGGGCTTCCCCAGCGCGCTGCCTCGTGTGTGCAGGGGCTTGTGAATGTGGGAAGGGGTGTGAGCGTGTGCCACCGTGCACATGCGTGTGTGAGCACGTGTGCAAGCATGTGCAAGTCTGTGTGCATGTGTGTTCAAGCGTGTGCAAGAACATACAGGGGCTGCAAGAGTGCACATGTGTGTGTAAGTGCATGCAAGGGCATGCACAGCACATGGGTGTGAGTCTGGGCAATGATGTGTGGGGGTATTTGCACGTGTGTGCAGGTGTGCATGTGTGTGCAAGTATGTACAGGAATGTATGGGCTTGCAAGGACCCATATGCACACGTGTGCAATGGCTTATATGCACTTGTGTGCAAGGACTCCCTCGCTCATGAGTGGAAGTGTGTGTGTGTGTACATAGGAGTGCAAGTATGTGCATGAGGGATACACATGCACGTGTGTGCAAGTGTGCAGGGATCCATATGCACAGGTGTGCAGGCACGTGCACAAGTGCATGCATGCAAGCACCTATATGCATGTGTGTGCAAGCTTGTGCATGAGTGCATGTGTGCAAGGACCCACATGCATGTGTGAACAAGAGCATTTGTGCATGTGTGTGAGTGCACACGTGCAAGGGCCCTTAATGCATGTGTGTTCAATGACCCTTATGTGTGTGTGCACGAGTGGATGTGAGGACCCACAACCACGTGTGTGCAAGTGTGTGCCCACAAGCAGACACACGTTTACAAGCACACACACACACACGATGCCCACGGTGCACACGTGTTTACAAGCACACACACACACACGATGCCCACGGTGCACACGTGTTTACAAGCACACACACACACGATACCCACAGTGCACACGTGTTTACAAGCACACACACACACACAATGCCCACAATGCACACGTGTCTACAAGCACACACACACGATGCCCGCGGTGCACACGTGTTTACAAGCACACACACACACGATGCCCACAGTGCACACGTGTTTACAAGCACACACACACGATGCCCACGGTGCACACGTGTTTACAAGCACACACACACACGATGCCCACAGTGCACACGTGTTTACAAGCACACACACACGATGCCCACGATGCACACGTGTTTACAAGCACACACACACACACGATGCCCACAATGCACACGTTTACAAGCACACACACACACGATACCCACGGTGCACACGTGTTTACAAGCACACACACACACAATGCCCACGGTGCACACGTGTTTACAAGCACACACATAACACACCCCGAGTATTTACACCTTGCACACACACTTGCAGGCACACACCCGATGCACACACGTGTTTACAAGCACTCACACGCGCCATGCACACAGGTGCCCGCCGCTGCAAGCGTGTCCCAATAAACTCCCCTGGCTGGTGCCAGTGCCCACGGGTGGGTTTGGGACGTGTGGAGCACAATCCTGCCGGAATCCGGGGGCTTGGCGGCTGCTCCTCGCCGCCGCTTGGGTTTATTTTTAAACCCGTTGGCCCCGAGTGATTCACACGCTGCCTGTTCCCTGTTCCCTGCTCCCCGGCAAGTTTTACACGACCAAAATAGATGTTCTGGAAGGAACGGGCCACCCGGCAAAGCCGCGGCGGGGAGAGCGGGGCGCTCCCGGGATCCCGGCCCCTCCGAGGCTGGAAACGTCACTGATCCACCTCCATGAGGGTGGGTTTGGGAAAATGCCGGTGCAGACACCCTGGGAAACGGGATCACGGGTGATGTTTAACCTGGATCACAATACCAGGCTTCAGTGGAAGGTGCAATGTTGATGGGTCCTCCGGGGGTATCCCAAGCCCTGGGGGCTCTCACACCTGGCTGTGGGGGAAAGGGAGCCCAGCAAGGCAGAAGGGAGGGTGGGATGAGGGCAGGGAATGGGATAGCATCATCTGTGGGAACAGAGCAACATTCTTGGGAACAGAGCACCCTCCCCAGGGTCAGGGTCCTGCTTGTCCCAGCCCTGCTGGCAGCAGCTCCCTGCAGTGATAAAAGCACCCAGCCAAGGTACCATGTTACAGCACACAGGGGAGGAAAAAAAAAAAAAAAAAGGAAAAAAAATCTGACTTGTAAAAATAGGAGGCAGTAATAACTGTTAATTCACTATTTTTAATTTCAAGTTCAGTCATGAAAGGTTTCCAGCCATAACAGTGCATCTCACTCACTTAAGACCAAGACACACATACAACAGTCCCAGCCAGCAGGGATTTCTCCCTGACAGATTCCCTGCTTTCAGCTGAATGCCGTTTCCAGCACGGCAATCCCAGCCATGGAAGGACAACAATCACACCTGTCCCAGTTCTGTGGGACAGCAGCACCACTGGTTTCTTCTCCAAGGAAAACATCATTGAAACCAACCCCTCTGGATGGAGGAGACCTGGAGCTGGGCTCCCCACCCTGAGAATAACAGAGCAGGAGGAGGATGGTCAGCTGGCCAAATCCCAGGCAGAGGTGACAGCCTGAAGAGCTGAGCAGAGATTTTGTAGTATCCATGCACCACTCAGCAGATTTGCAAGGGCTCCTCAGAGAGGCTCCGGGGTGTCATCTGCTGAGGAAAAGTCAGAGGAGGTGGCAGCAACCAGGGTTTAGGGCAGCAGAGGTGGTGGCTCGCAGGCCTGGCCATCAGAGGAGAGATAAGGGACAAGGACAGGACCCCACAGCACAATGTGACTGCAGAAGCAAACCCTGGGACAGCAGCAGAGGCTAAGCACAGTTCATCCAGCTGAGCAGGCACCCTGCAAACTCCAGAGCTGCCAGGATGATGCTTCTCCACCAGCATCTCTGGAGCAAGCCCTACCCATCTCCTGCTAACCCTTGCACAGTGTCCCAAGCCCCAGATGAGCAGGAATAGGCAGCTTTTTCCTCTTTGGGGTCATTTATTTATAGATTTAAAGAAATAAAAATAGAAAAAGAGGTAAAAAGTGCATGCCGAGGCAAAAGAAATGTTCATTGGAATGAAGCCAGAGCAGAAGGTGGGGTGGCAAGGGGTCCCTCTGCCCTTCTGAGGGGGGAACATTCCTCCTGCATGCACAGAGACAGGGCAGTGGGGCTCTCCCTTCAAACCCCGCCAAATTCATGCTCACAGTATCCGACGTAGAGAGGCTGTGCCTGGACACCACGCCTGGGAAGAGAACAGAAGGATGGCATCAGGGAGAGGCAGAGACACCACCAGGTCTGAGGGCTTCCAGTGGCACAGGGTGGCTGTGGGTGCCCCGCTTCAGGTGTGACAAGGAGGGAGGGGTTTTCATCCTGTGCTTATAAACTCAGTTTTTTGCTCATGTGTGGGAGCACGGGGTGAGGACAGGTTTCCTGGGGAAGCTGGTGCTGCAGGAGGAGTGGCAAGAGCTGACAAGTCCCCTCCTTCCTCAGCACAAAGCCCTCTCCTCGCCAGAGCCACCAGCCTACGCCAGCAGCAGGAGCGCTCTTCCAGCGCTGCACAAAGCAGGCTCTGCCCACGCACAGGCAGCACAAAAACCAGGGCTTTCCAGAGGAACAAGGGTCATTTTGCACCCTTCTCCCTCCTGCCCTCCCAGGGTTGAGCCCAGAGCAGCAGGGCAAGGGCAGGTGCCCCAGGATGGTTACCCCAGCAGCGTGCAGCGGAACTCTGCCAGCCGGGCGTATGCGTCCTGCACGTTCCCAACAGTCTCATTGCTCCAGAGTCTTTCAGCTACGGCCCCAGCTCTTGGCCTTGAAGACAAGAGACAGGCAGTCAGGACAAGGGGGAGCTCAGAAGATTCTTACACGAAGCCCTGAACTCCCAAGCACTTTCCTAATCAGTGTCCTTCCACACACAAAGGCTTCAGAGTATCCCAAGATCTGTTCCCGGACACGTGCCCATCAGGAGCAGACCAGGGTGACAGCACAGAAGGCTGTTAAACACAACCTGGTTGCAGCAGCAGGTTGTCACAGCCTTGCAAACTCCCATTTCAGCCTCAGTGAAGCTGTTACCAGCACAGGGAGGACAGAGACAGGCACCATGTGCAGATCAAACCCATGAGTTCAGCACATGACAGTCGGTGGCAAAGAAAAGGGATGCAAGCCCAGTCTCACACAACCCAAGTGACCTCCCCGTGGCCTCCCTTACCAGAGCCTGGGGGTCAGGTTGGTGACATCCACATATTCACCCCACATGCAGGCCTCACCACCGATCACCAGGGCCTTCTGCTCAGGGCTGCCTGTGGAGGGGACAGCAAAACAGCCACTCCTGGCACTACATCTGAGTGCCAAGGCAGCTGCCATGCAGAAAGGGGACACAAGGAACACACCTTCAAACATCAAGGGCTCCACCTTATAGGCTTCTATCCAGTCCTGCCCGTAGGAGATGCGGTTGAGGTACCAGGGTGCAGAGAGCAGAGCCCTGTAGCCAGACCTGGTGACATTGGCCATCTCGTTCAGGTACTGCAGGTTGTTCTCCTTCCACACGTGGATGATGGTGTCAGGCCTCAGCTGAGGAGCACAGGTGAACGCAGGGCAGGGATCAGTGCAGTGACAGAAGCATCACCTGCTCCCCTGAGCAGAGTGCACTGACCCCTCCACACCCCCAAAAGGAAGCTGAAGCAGACTTGGGCTTGATTTTTGAGCCACTTCCCATCTGGTTTGCAGGAACAACAGGAGGGATAAGGCCATTTGCAGAGTGTCCTGGGCAGGGTTAAAACCTGCATCCTAGAGCAAGCAGAGCATTGGCAGCAGTGTGACAAAGCCATGATGAAGACAGCTCACTGGCAGCACCATCTTGAGATCAACCACAGTCCCATTACAGAGTAACACCCACCAGCCCCAGAGCACACCAGTGTGTCAGGGGGGATGCTGGCACTGCTCACCCCAGTACAGCCTCCCAGAGCACACCAGTGTGTCAGGGGGGGTGCTGGCACTGTTCACCCCAGTACAGCCTCCCAGAGCACACCAGTGTGTCAGGGGGGATGCTGGCACTGCTCACCCAGCACAGGCAGCTCTCACCTTCACGTCGTTGTCAAACACCTCCTGCCACACAATATAACCTTTGCCAAGGGAAGAGACGATGTCCAGAAGCCTAGAGTGGGAAAAGTACCAAGGTTTGGGTGATCTCACTGATTCCCTCTTTGGTGGTTACATACAGGCTAAGGAGCAGCACAGATATTCCCAACACCCTCAGCAGGATGTGGAGGTGCTTCTGAAGGAGGAGAGAAGGAGCACAGCCCCTTATGGGGCTTCTTTCTCCTCAGCCCCAGGAGGGGCTTTTTTGTGGTCAATCTCCCACTAAAATGTTCCCTTTTGGGCTCAGGGAGACATGACCAACAGGGAAGCTCCTGGAAAGGACATCTGGTGTCCCCAGGACAGAAGACATTTGAGCTGGTCACACAGTGCAGCAGCAGGCCCTGGATGCCCTGTCCTTACCTCTGGATGTAGAAAGACTCTAATTTTTTGTAATCTTGACCAAGGCCCATCTCAACCATGAAAGCACGGATTTCTGGATTGGACTTCCTGTGCACCAAAGAGAAGAAATAAAACCATTGTAACCTGAGCTCTGCAGTAAGGTCAAGGCATGGTCAAGTCCCTCCCACAACAGTCCAAGGCTTGCCCAGGTATTCCAGAGCTGTGGCTGGACCAGCACCAGCACCAGCAGCTCCCTACATTCAGCATCACCATGAGCACAGAAATCCCAAAAATCCCAAGCACCACCACTACCCCTGGCCTGGGAGAGCAGGACACCAAAGCTCATGATCAAGAAGCCACGGGCTGGGACTCCAATCCCAAATACTTACCCCCAGCCCCCATCCACACTGATCTCAAACTCACCAGCACGTGAAATCTACCTCATCACCACCAAGGTGGAGAAAGAAGTCTGGGAACACAGTGCTGACCTCTTGGAACAACCTGGTCACAAACTGGTAGGTGCTGTTAACAATGGGGTTGATGGGCCCATAGACTCCAGAAGGAGCCTTGCCCCTATAGCAGGGAGTCAGGAGGCCTGGAGCACCTGATGATAACAAATGCAAGATGATGAGGAAGGGGCAATTCCCTCTACAATTCCCCTCAGCACAATCTAGGGCCTGTCAGGGGACAGGGAAGGAGGGACAGCCACAGTTCCAGCTGTGACCACACACATAGAGAATTTTAACATGGGCCCTGGCATTTGGAGGCAGGGAAAGGAGAGAAAAAAACAATGGAATGTGCTTCTTGCACTTCTAGACATAGGAGACACAGTCCCTGGAGTAGATAGCAGCATGTCGGGACTGGGACACAGCTGAGCAGAGCAAGGAAGCTTCACCAGCTGTACCCTCAGTTACACAAGAACCTTGCAATAAGCCATAGTGTTAGTTTTGACAGAGCAGATGCTCCCACAAAAAAGTCACCCAGCTTGGACCCAAGAAAACGTGGAAATGTGGAAATGTTTCCCTTTGAATTTTGCTCTTGAAGTTGGATCACTGGGTCCCACATCCCCCAAATAATGGTTTGCTCCTCATCAAAGCCAGCCTGTGGGACACTGCTGCTCACACCCAGCTTTTAGGGTCCAGACTGCAGCACCCATTCCTGCCCCTGGGACAGCTCCAAGTCTCCTCAGAGCAGCAGCAGCAGGCAGGGTGTGCTCCTCACCTGGCCCCCAGGAGAGGGTGTGGCCGGGGGTGTCGAACTCGGCGATGACTCTGATGCCGCGCAGCCGGGCGTACTCGATCACGCTGCGCACGTCACTGGCTGTGTACACGTGGGTCATGGCATTGAAGGCTCCCTGGGACACAGGAAAGCTCAGTGCCTTGCTCAGGAGCAGAGGCAGGGATCTGCTCACCTGAGCTGGGCTTTACATGGTGATCATTACCTGCTTGCTGAGCTCTGGGAATGTGGAACTCTCATAGGGGAAAGATGGGTCATCCACAATGTGCCAGTGAAAGACATTGAACTTGTTGTAAGCCATGACGTCCTGGGAAGGAACAGGACAAAGATGAAACGTGTCCCATCCCTTCTGAAAGGTCACCCAGCTTGCCACAGATAGAGAACAAGGTCCTCCAGCTCCAGAAGGACAAGGCAGAGTCCCTAAATGCTCCCCAGGATCCAAGAGGGATTCAGACACCTCTCTCTAAACACAAAAGTTGCACAGGGCCAGGAATATTTCTGCTTAGTAAAATCCTTGTTCTCCCTGTAACTGAGCCACTGGTGGAGATCTGGAAGTTTTATTCTGCTTGGGATGAGCATAGAACCACCAGCCACCTTTGCCAGTGTTCTTTTTAACAAAGGCAGCTGAGAAATCACCCAAACAAGGGAGCTCAGTTGTCACAGGGGAAGGGACACCCAATTAAACCATCTCATTTCCCAGCATGGGTGTCCTACCAGAGTTTCCAGGATAGCTTTCAGAGGCAGGTAGTGTCGAGAGGTGTCCAGCAACAGTCCCCGGTGAGGGAAGCGGGGAAAGTCCACGATTTCTGTCTCATTGATGTAGTACTGCACACAGAAGACACGAGGAAGATGTGAGCAGGATGTTGGACAAATGGCCATTAGCAAGAGACATTGAGGGTCACCACTGTCCCCAGGGTTGGCAGGACAGAGGTGCCCTCACTGCCCAGAGTGCAAAGTGTCCAGAAAGAGCTGCAGCACTTCTTTACACACTCAGAAGGCAGGGATCTGGCTGGATCCATGAATTTCCACCTGGCCCTTGGCAAGGCTGTGCCCACTCATTCCAAGCATCCCAGCAATTCTCAGCCTGTCCCCATGGAGGCTGGGGCACTATGGGGAGCTGCCTGCCCCCAGGGGATGAGGCTAGGACTCACCGTGCCATTCTCATCTCGCCCAACAAGCTGGCTGAATGTTTCCAGGCCTGCAGGAAAACACACAGCCCCTTTCTCAGCACAGACACCCCCAAAGGAGCAGAGCTCAATTAACAAAGTCTATGGAAAGAGAGAGGCACTGGAGACATCCCCACAGGCCCGAGGCAGGGAGAGTGGGAATGCCCTGTGGGAAGCACAGCTCACCTCGGAGAGCTCCCCAGATGGTCTCTGCTGAGAGCAGCATGGAGCCTTTGGAGACAGACAGCTTATCTGAAAAACAGCATCAGAGGGATGGCCCACACTGCCACAACAGCACTGGGCAGGGCTCAGGTACAGAACTGCACCCCAGACCCCAGAGAACTGAATTTTGGCTCTTTCTTCCTGTTTTAATCCTCTCTCCACTGTTTTATCAGCACTCTCAGGTCCTTCCTGCCCTTCCCCAGCAGGGAATTGGTGCCCTCCCCAAATCCAAGGGTAACTGCACAGTGCTACTTCCCAGTGACAGGCACAGAAACAGCCACGTTCCCTCTCACTCCCAACCCTGTCACTTACAGCTTTCATTGGAGTCCAGGCTGGGAAACCCATCGCAGCCTGGAGTGGAAACATAGACGAGAAGCTTGGTGCAGGGTGTTTCCCAGGATGGCTCATTCTCTGCAAAAGACACAGACCATGCACATCAACCCCACCCCAGCTCTTTTCCCTGCTTCCAAGCCCACCACCATCCTCCCAGCCCAGCTAGGGATGGAGGCAGAAACAGGCACCCCTTCCTGCACCCCGAAACAGACACCACGGTGTTCAGCAGGGGTTAATTTCAACACAGCCAAACAGGAGAACAAGAGCTGATCCCAACCTGTGAGGAAGCCCACAAGGAAGCTTAAAGGAGCACACAAGAGAGGAGAAACATCAGAATATGGACTAGCAGCAGCCCCTGAGGCTTCCTGGACACCAGCCCTGGCTCTTACACTACAGCCATGGCTAGTGAAAGCTTCTCTATGAGGGTGAAGAGCTTCTTGTTTCCAAGATTTCCCAGCACTGCAAAAAACTACAAGCCTAAGAGCTATGCTCTACCCAAACTTATTGGAAAAGGGCAAAGAAAATCTTTAAAAAAGGGTGGAGAATGAATCTGTTAAACTGGGCTGAGTTAGAGGCAATCAAAAGGTCTCAGCCAGCTCAGAAAAGCTCCCAATTGACTTCACCTTCTGCAGAGCAGGATCCAGGTGTAGCAGCCAGAGAAACGAACCCAGTCACATTGGGACCTCAAGTAGGAGCTCTGGGCACACTTCCCTAACTGAAGAGCACTTCCAAGGATGCACAAGCCTGAATTCTCACTTGAGTCACTCCCCCATTCCAAAGGGATGCTCAGCCTTCGTTGGGGTGCAATGGACTTAAAGCAGTCAGTTGCCAGAAGGAGCATGGGGTAGCAGGGTGGGACCCTGCTCATCCCAGACAAGGTCCGTACCTACACCCCACAGCATTCCCAGGAACAGCCAATGCTCAATGTGGTCACTAAAAATAAAGAACTTGGCTTTGAATAAGCCAAGAGCATCAAGAAGTTTCCAGAGAGACTGTGGCACTGCCAGCATTTCAGAAAAATGCAGAGAGCCCCTGCTCCACAGCTCACAGGAGCTCACAGAAATCCCGATTTCTCCATGAAGGGATGACGAAACCTCTGCAGAGAGAAGGAAAACAGCTTGAAGCCAGCCCTGTTTTGAGCTTTCCTCTCGGTTGCAGACAAGCTGGTAGCCAAGGCAACCTCACAGATGTGCAAGCAGCACAGCAAGACCTGCTCCCTCCGCTCGGGAAGGCGGCAGTTCACCGGGAACAGCCGCTCTCAGGCCTGGGAGCACTCATTCTGCTGAGGAGCCTCGACAGAATTGCTCCCACCATCACACACCATGTTTGAACCTGCTGGGTGAGGTGCTTCCCAACCCAAACACAGCCCCCTAGGCCAAGGTGCAGCCAGGCACCACCACAACCACACCTGCAAGGCAGGGCAGCCAGAAAATGGTTTCTGCCATTTATTTCCTCTATTAATACAAATGATTTCCTTTCATCCAAGCTTTCCACTGCCTGTTCTTACTAACCACCCATGCGGAAAAAAAAGACCAAAAAAAAACTGAAGGAAAAGAGGGGAAAAAAGGCCTTAAAATAATTTGTGTAGCTTGAACATCAGAAAGCAGGGCATATGGAAAGTGATGAGTGTGAGCTGGATCTTGTGATCGCAGTGTTGCTCCAAGTGATTTGATGGTCACATTTCCCCTCTGAGTGGAACAGGAGAGCGTGAATAATTAGATCAGCTGTTTTTAGTTCCTAGCAGCAAAAGAGAACCAAGAGGAGCCTTTTTGGCTCTCAAATCAAAATTTATTTCTACTTCTACTCACAAGAGTTGAAGAAATAAAATAAGCCAAAGGGTTCTCTGTTTCAAACCTGCTTTTTTCAAAGTATGATGTACTCAAGACAAAGCCAAGCAGCTTCCAACACTGCCACCCTTCTCTGCTTTGATCAGCAGCGACAGAGTTCACACTGACATTTAAAACACTCGGGAGCAGAGTTACTAGCTCTTTTTGATGAATGAAGTGCTTCATACTCCCTGCATATAGCACTTCAGGCTGCAGCAGACCCACGCAGCTACTGAGCGTCCCTGCACGTCGGCTCCACAGCCAAGAGATTTCCTGCAGCTCATCCCAGGCAAGCAATGGGTGCTGTCACGAAGAAGTCTGGGTTCAAGAAACCTTTAGAGCCTGTCCCACAGCAAATCCAGACTCTCAAAGCTTTTGCCTTTCCTCATCTTACCCTACAATTTCAGGATGAATCCAGGAGCTAATCCCTCCCTGGCAGAAAAGCCACGCTGCCTCAGGACTTTTAGCAGCTCCACTTTGGCAGAGGTGTCCCGTGGCACAAGTATGTACTTGGAAGAACACACACAAAGCAGGAAGTCTTTCCTCCAGGTGAGACCTCACACAGGCCACCGAGAGCTGCTAACAGCCAAGACTGAGCAGTAACCCTGAAGCAGGAATGGCTGCAAGAGTGGGAGCAGCTCTCCCTGCAGCCACAAGAGAAGGAAGTGAAATGAAGCAATGGAGAGATTAACACTACCTGGAGGAAGCAAAAAATGAAATAGAGAAAACTCTTGATAGCGAGAGCCGAAATCTTGGCAGAAGGACAACTAGTGCTGTGCCAAACTCGATTAGACTCCTTCCACACGTGCCACAGGCACTGCTCTCCAAATCCCAACCCATCGCTGCCCTTGCCACCAGACTCCATCCAAGCCACAACTCCCACCCCACCTGCCGCCGCAGAACTGAGGGGAGGCAGACGGCCACCAAACCCCGCGGTCTGACCCCAAAATTAGCGAGGGTGTGGGGGGCTGTTTAAGCTCAAAGCCACGGAGAAGAAGGGTCAGCGCCCGCCGCGGCCCTCACCGGTGGGACGGCCGAAGAGCAGCGGCCAGTACCGCTGGAAGGCGGCGTCCAGCACGGCGCAGCCCGGCCCCACGGCCGAGCCGTCCGCCACGGCGAAGCGGAACCCGCGGGCGAGCACCGGGCAGCGGCCGCCGCCGGGCGGGAAGCTCTGGGCCTGGGGCTGCGGCCACACAGCCCCCGCCGGGCCCGGCAGCAGCAGGGGCGGGAGCAGCAGCAGCGGGAGCAGCGACAGCTGCAGCGCCCGCGCCGCCGCCATGTCGCGCCCGAGCCTGAGGGAGGCGGCACCGCCCGACAGCGGGGGGCCGGGCGGCCGCGAAATGGCAGCTCGGGCCCGCCCTCACGGCGTTCCCCCCGCTGGCCCACAGCCTCCCCCGGCAGTCCATCCTTCCCTCCTTCTCTTGTAATAAGGTACGGAAGCCCCTGCAGCTCCCCACCGAAAATCATTTCTGTCCCAGCCTTCAGGCTTTACAGGCCCCCCCACCCCAGCCATGATTACTGCCGCCAGGGAGCTTCAGCAGCCTGCACCGGGTTTGAGGAGATTGATGGTTTAAATCACGTATTTCACCTCTGCTGCTTTCGTGGAATCATGTAGTGTTTTGGGCTGAAAGTGATCGTAAAGATCATTTAATTCCAGCTCCAGCCATGAGCAGGGACATCTTCCTCTATCCCACCTTGCTCCAGGCCCTGTGTCCAACCTGGCTTTGGACACTTCCAGGGATGGGGCACCTACAGCTTTTCTGGGCAACCTACACCAGGGCCTCACCACCCTCATTGTAAATAAATTCTTCCTTGTATCTAACCTAACTAGACCTCTCTCAGTTTAAAACCAGCACCCCTTGCCCATGCTTTGGATCCACCTTGGGTTAAAGCATCTTCTGTTGGTGCTGTGTATTTTTATGAGCAATATATAAATCATCCTTTGCACTGGTTTCCAAGGATATTTTATATGTGGCCAGTGAAATATTGATTGGGTTGTACAAATAAAAGGGGCTTTATTCCATGGTGGATCCTCACAATGAAGTGGTGCAGGGATGCTTTCCGTGCAGTGCTTGGCTTTTCCAAGGAAAGCCTTAACCTCAGATGAACTCTATTTAATTTGCTTCCTCCCTCCAGCTCTGCTTTCCTTAGCAATCCCCAACTCAAATAAGGGCCTTAAGCCCAGGTCTTACCCATCTAATTGCCAGCACAAACCTACAAGGGAACTCACTCCATCAAATTATTAAAAACCTGTTGTCCCAGAAAACTCCAAGGTATCAGGCGTGCTGGGAGACAAGCCAGAGGCATGGGAGCAAGGAGGAAATTAAACAAATGGCACAGGAGAAAGTGTGACAAGGGAGATGGCCCCATCACACAAGAGGAAAAACCATTCTGTGTGAGCAGGACATAGCTATGGAAAGGCCTGGTGGGGAATGTAAGGTATTGTCCCTCATGGGAGCAGTGTAGAGAGAACAGGATCAACAGGAAAAAAGCTTTTTGTAGAAAAAAAACCACAAGAAACGTGTTGTCAAAGGTTAGAATAGCACCAGCACAAAGCTGGAGACTGATGGGGAAAGAAAAAGAGCTGGGAAGACATGGAAGGGTTTCAGTGGGGCTGGGGAGAGATGGAGGGAGGTGCTCTCCAGTGTTGAAGAAGGCTGTGAGGTTCCAGTGAAGTTCTTGGGGGTGACGTGGAGGTGAAAAACTTGTGGGGAAATGAGGCACCAGGAGGAGATCACAGGTTTGGGTCTAAATGGGATTGTGGGAATTTCATGAGGTTAGTGAAAATTTCTAGGGAGCTCATGGGGAGCTCCCCATCCATAGGGAGGGGACTAAGGGTCACCTAGAGATAGAGAAGCTGGGCTCCATCAGGAAGGGGGTCAAAGAGAGCCGAATGGTGTTGCCATGAGCTCAACACCAACACAGCACTGCATCTTTCTTTTCCAGCTGTGTAAAACAGCAAAGTCCATCTAATGGGAAGGTGAGCCAGGAGCCAAGGACAGGCACAGCCTTACCAGGTGGGTGTACCTCCACAGCCAGGCTAACAGAGCACAGGGCTGGACCAACAGAGAATTAAAGGCACCGAGTGAAGTCCAACATCAATTTAGGAATACTTAGGAGCAGGTACACTCATAGCAGAGATCAGGAGGAATTGATTGCCTGGATCTCAGAAAGAATGGAACTTATGGAGTTCATGGGTGGAGGTCTCAGGAGAGGGACCAATTAAAGGGTCAATTAAAGCTTGTTGGTTCCCTCAGGCTCCTGACAATCCTGCCTTGTTTTCCCTACAGAGGTGGCAGGACCCAAATTCAACACAATGGCACATGCCAGGCTGCTTCCTCACTATTCTTCCAGGATTTTGTGGCCCTTCTCTATCTCTGTCCTCATCACACAGCAGGAAAAGAGAACACCTGTATTCCAGCCTGTGTCAGACCTCTGGAAAGTGGCCCCTGTCATTCCTTGTGTTCAAGTTTCCTGCTGCCAGTCTGCATAAAACCTCTGTGATCTCGAGCTGGGTTTGTTGCTTTTCCCTGTGCAAACTTCTGGAGCACCAGCTGTTACCACCATTTTCTGACTGTATTTGGTTGATTTCAGTATCTCTCAAGTAGTTTCACTGAATTAAAATTTCAGTGGAAGGAAGAACACCCCAAACAAGGCAGTTTGTTGCTGTCTTCCATCAGGCAATGTCAGGACTGTGCTTCCCAGCGCAAGAGACAGAACTGTGGGAGTGCCCTGGCTTGAGGCGAATTCTCATTTCAGCCTGGGGAAGGTGGCATGTTTGCCAGCTTATGTAAAGCATTGTGATCAGAGCTTTCAGTCCAAATATTCCAGCCTTTCTACAGATTCAGTTGCTGATGCTATTTTAGGGGACCTGATGTCTCTGGGGGATGACTCATTGAAGTTCATCTGTAGCTGGCCGGCATTAATCCAGACTAACAATCTGATTTTCGAGTGTTTCTTTACATAAAAAAAACTGCTTAAGTGTGTGTCTAACTCTGGAGCTTGGCTGGAAGAACCTGGTTTGCACTCTGTCCTGTGGCAGGCACAGAGCACCAGCAGCCTGAAGCCACTGATGCTCTTCAGTAGCCCATCAATAATCAGCTCATGGGCTCAGAGCAGATCTGCAGGCTGATAAAACCACCTGGGAGGCCTTTTCCAAGGTAGTTCAGCAAGGAACATGCAGGGAGTGAACCCCAGGCAGGGTTGTACTGGCTTAGGTACAAAGCTTAGGTACTGGCTTGGGTACAAACCCCTCTGATGCAAAAGTTGGGACTTGCTGGAGGACTGCAAAAAACTGCTGTGCCAGGACATTGCTGGATTACCTGCTTGCTACCAACAATGAATTTGGTAACAATCCAAATTAATTATTCTGATATAAATTGTTATAAAACCTAGCTGGTGTCACATTTGAGTCTTTCTGGTTTGTTTGACTTCAGGGCATGAAGGTGGCCTTTGGGCTATCAGTGCAGTTGCATCACAGCATTTTTTAAATATATAATTCCATTTATTATGCTGCCTAACTCCCCATAATGTTGGCTGCTTCTGCATTTAACCAGGAGGGTGTTTTGCACACTGATTCTTCCTCTGATGAGAAGCCATTCATGAACACCTTCACAGGGCATGAGTTTTCCATTTGCTTTGCTCTTTGAGCCAACACTGTCTAGGAAAATTGCTCCTGAATGAAGCAACTTCCAGCTCAAGGGACCTGTTGATGGTGTGGCTGGAAGAGGGCTTTGGAAAACACAGATCATCTCCTGGAAATACCTCGAACTTGAATTTTGGCCTCTCTTTATGGGCAAAACTACTGTCTCCATTTGCTTGTTTGCCTTCACTTTAATCCTTGGTAAAATAATGATGGGATTTGGACTGGAAGCACAAGGGTTTTAGGGTTGAAGTGTCCTTACTTGTGGTGGTGATCTGGAGGGAGTGTGGTCAGCATGTGCCAGGTCTTTTCAGGTGTGGACCCTCCTGTTGCACATCTTTGTATTTCAGGGATGATGTTGCTTATCATCAAGCAGAGGGGTGCTCCCATTTAAACACCCAGCAGGAGCCCCCAGAGACATTTGGTTGAGCTTTAGCATGTGCACAAAGAAGATCCTAAACATGAGATGCTAAATCCACATCCAGGTGATTCTCACCAGCTCTAACAACTCAGCCCACGAGGAACCTTGATGTTTTGGGGGCCTGAAGCAAGCTGGTATATATAGCAGGATGCTTTTGGAGGCACAGGGATGCATTCCAGCACTTTTCAAAGCACAGGATAACTCATTTCCACATCCCTACCTTCCCAGCTAGACCACCACTTAGCAATTCTGCTATTTCAACAGTTAGGAGCTTGAGAGTGGAGTTTAAATCGAAAAGCTTGAAGTGAGATGTGTTCATCAGTGTGGAGGATTTGGGGTCCTGACTCGAGCTCAGCCTGGTGGTGTTTCCCCTGTTGATGTTATCACAGAGCTTTTTTTTCTTCTGAGTTATCTCCAGCTTGCACAGCTTTGGAGTGGTGATCCGAGGGGCTGCTCAGCCCATGCTTATGGTTGAGGTTGTTAAAGATTGTGCAGACACCCAAAATCAAACCCTAGGAATTGAGAAATCTTCTGGATTTCCTTTATCCCGGCGTGGGAGCTCTGTGTGTCTCTGGTGATGGAGAAGAAAGGCTTTTTCCAGAGATCCTGCCTGCCTCAAGGAATGCAGGAGCAGGAAAGAGGCTGGGTGGGATGGGAGGTTCACCCTGAATCTGCAGGCGGTTTGTGGTGTGGGGCACCAGCACTTTCACAGCATTTTGGCATCACGAATCAGGGCTTGTCACGAGGAGATGCTGCAAGTTCTTGTGGAGGCTGAGTACATGTGGCTGCTGTCCCTGGCTGCTCCCAGTCACGGCTGTGGGGCTGAGCTGGAATCAATCAGAGCCTGTGGATGCGCCGTGACAAACTCCCTGTGCCCAGAGGCGACGCTCCCATAAATCCTGTAAGCATGTGCTTAACTTTGGGCAGCAAGGTGATTGCAAGGCAATATTTTATTCTTGTCAGCTTCAGTGTTAACAGTTACCAGAATCACTTGGGTAATTAAGCTCTTGCAAGAATAAAGTGAAAAAGCACCAGGTGTCTATGGAGATCTAAATCATTTTTCAGAGTGGGCAGAAGAGCAGTTTTTGGCTTTCCTCAGTAGCTGGAGTCCTAAAATCCCCAGAGACAGTGCAGATCCCCTCCAAATGAGCTAAAGGCAGCAGCCCTGCTTTTCTCAGGTACTTTTTGCCAACCACCTACAAGAAAGTGGTGGGTG